AGACAGACAGACAGACAGACAGACAGACAGACAGACAGACAGACAGACAGACAGATGACAGTAAATCTTACTATCATTTGAGCCCACCGTTAGCTCAGTTGGTATTATTCTACTAGTCTAGACTATGATGCAATTACCCCTGTTTAGAGACTCGAACAGAACTTTCTCAAACTTCGGTTATTTCGGCATTTTCAAGGATATCCACCTTTTTGGCTGGATCCTATCGGAAACGGAGATTAAATTTGTAGGTCCAGCTTCATTTAATAATTATTTAAAGCCCTGAAAGACTCTAAATCCACACTTTACCATACAATTCACTTCAATAGAAGATTGTCATTATTAGCTCTGTTTCTGGATGTTTTATTTTTTGTGCATTAGCTCATAAATGAAAGCATGCTATACTCATAGGACAACATGGTTTGGCAATTGATTCATAGTAACAATGAGGATTAAATAGATTGTGGAGGATGGTGTTGAACAGTTTGAGGAGAAAAATCCAGTTTTCTTCTCAGAAGAATAAGAATTTTTTTTGTTGTCGTTCAAACCACAGCTTATGCGTATCATGTATAGGTTTCGAAAAACGCACAAAAAACCAACAAAAAACACACAATTGTTTCATGATAAAGAAGAAGAAAAAAGGGCTGAAGTTTCTAGGCCAACGAAAAGCTGATTGCAATGGATAGGCTCATTTTTTAAGCAATTGTGGAACATAATATTTCCAATTGGCTTACGAAAATAGTGCCTTTTTAAGTTTCAAAGTATCGTGGGCAATAAATTCATTTCAATTGAAATGTCACGAGTGAAACATGCCATTTTAAGCATTGGCTGTTGTTTTACTCATTTTGATCGTTCTACAATCTCCTTTGACATTTAGGGCCAAAAATCTTCATCGGCAAGTTAAAAAGTGATTTTTTTGTTATTTGTACATACATTTGTATTTTTCAATTCCATTTTTTTTTCTTCTGAAACTTGCAAAGGCAGACAACAATATTCAACCAACAAAATATGATTGTGTTTCTGATTTGTGTAGATGGTTCGAAACGTGCCACAAAATCGACTCTGGTCTGGGTTGATCGGGTATGACAGTGTTTCCGCTATGTTCTTAATTAAAGAGTTAAGAACGAACTCGCAATTAATTGATTCTCCAAACCCACCTCTGTTCCATGGGTGATGGATAGGATGGAGTCGGTTTGTTTTTCTTTTTTCTTTTTTTTTCGGGGGGTTGGGAGTAGGGAGGGGTGTTGAACCGATTCAAAATGTCAAAATCTTGGACATCTAGAACACAGTTTGCCACGAGGTAGAGTGACGTATATTTAGCGGACATGGGGACCACGGAATTAAGTCCTACAGTTTGTTTAAAGACTCAGTAGTTCCGAGATGAATGTAACCTCGGCTTCCACCAGGTATAGAGGGTAACTCCACTACTACGACTTACGACCCTCTTTTCTTGCCAATACACTTACATTCTGAAAGGTGAAAGTTTGAAGAAATGAATCTAAAATTTAGCGTAACGCTTTTAACATGTAGATGTATGAATGGAGGACGCCAATATTAAAAGATCATCACAATCCGAACACCTTCTCGCGGATGGCATTTGTTTGAGACCTTTCATTATGCTCCATGGTTTACATTGTCAAAAACTTGGGACCGAGGAGACAGAAGAAGTGTTTATCAAACTCCTCATCAGGGTTTGCATTCCTATAAATTTATCCCACTGCCGGTAGAGCTGGCTCGTTTGAATTCATAACGGCTCGACGGTTGGGCCGAATCACGAGATAGGGACATCAGCACGAGAATTCTATTCAAGGTTATTTCCTGACTGTGCCATAGCTTCCTCTTATTTTGTAGCCTCTTGTTCCCTGTCAAGGTTTTTCCATGCGAGGCCATCAGTTCTCAAACGTGACGCCTTTCTCGCCTTTGTTCCCCGGAACCATCAGCTGGAGTTCTGTGGCATCCTGGGGAACAGAAAAGTCAAATAAACAGTGTTCAGTATCTTCAAAGTTATAAAGTTGAGCTAGGCCTATTTCTATTTGTTTTGTACCGCCACCTTCCCGAAGGGGACGGGACTGAGTTGGAGGGTAGATAATGTTTTTAATTTTTTTTTTTTTCCTTTGTCAAAAATAATGATAATGAATGCACCTTGTTGCTGCTACAGCATAAAAGTAGAGTACATCTGGAGTGGGCAGTGGGGAATTGTGGGACACGGTTTTTTCGGGGTGGGTGGTTGGGGGGGGGGGGGGGAGGAGATCGGGGACAAAGAAGGAGGAGGGGATTGTGGGTGGTTTAGATGAACTGGGATAAAAAAAATATTTTACCCCCTCCCTCTAGAGAAAACCCAAAACAGCATAGACGGTCAGAGGTACTTTAACACCTTCTGAGTTTTCCATTGTAGGTAAACAAACCAATAGAGTGCCATTCTGACTTTGATATTTTTTATACATTGATTTCTAAACTAGCATATAAATAGTTTCAGTATTTGGGTTTTGAAAAAAAAATCATACTATGTGAAGTTACTAACAGTGTTATAGAAACAAAGTAATCCTCAGATAAAAATTACGATAGAAAAATATATCGGTCTTCATTCGGAAAGAAAGGGGGGGGGGGGGGGGAATGTAATGCCCTTCCTATTTTTAAAACATTTTGTGCTTCTTGATTTGTCTAAATTCTTAGAAGATTTGGGTAAACTTTCACGATAATAACTTATTTGACATGTCGTTGTTATAGCATAGCACTTGATATATCATAATTGTCTTAGTTACTCACACAAACTGGGGGAATGTGACTGGAATCTTCAGATTTTTACACACTTGAACAGACATGTCGTCAAAATTAAAAGAATGTCGCTTTTTAAAAAGATACTGAATGATACAAGATTCAAGATTCAAAATGATTTATTGATTTGAAAGGCCTTTGGCCCATACATCCACATATTTTAACATATGGTTCGGCAATTACATACATTGGTGCAGCACATTGGATGTTTAACATAAATTGGACATGCACGCCCACATACACGTATGCACGCACGCACGCACGCACACACACACACGCACACACGCACGTGACGCATGCACATACACTCATACATACTCCTGCTCACACACATACTTACATACATACGTACATTCGTACATTCGTACATACGTACATACGTACATACATACATACGTACATACATACATACATACATACATACATACATACATACATACATACATACATACATGCAACGAATAGCAATAAGGCCGAAGAGGAAAAATAGGCAAGTGACGCCGAGGAAGGTTAGAC